CTCCCCCCATGGTACACTGGTTATTGTGCCCAAAATTCCATCACTCAGAAATAATTCCCACTACTTTGTGTTTTATAAAAAACAAGCCTTGCTCTTCCCTCACCCCCTTTCCATCTAGCACATCTGGAAGGTCTTTGTACATCGTTAAGTAACAAATATCCCTCTACAGAATTATTTTCTGTTTCCTGCTCAAGAAACTTCCAGAGCTTCTGGTAAAGCCTGGGAGTGCTCTCCCTCACAGAGAGAGCGGCAGGAGACCACACCCCATGCTCCTACTGAGCCACAGCCCTCTCCAGGAGTTATGGACGCTTGAAGGCTGGGTCTTTTCTTTTTCGCCTCCAGGATGAGGTGCGGGTTGCTTCCAGCACCCTGTTCCTCTGATGACTTCTCTGGTTGAGAGCACTGAAGTGTGTTTACCTCTTTGCCTCTTGATGCACAGCACAGGTGGTTCCATGGTGACATATGTCCTCACACACACATAGTTGACCCTCACTGTTCATGGATTCCACGTGCTGGGAGCTTCAACCCCGACACGCTTGTGCAGGGACTCAGTATAACTTTAAAAGGCTGGGGAGGTCTTCGGCCAGGTAATTAGGGTCATGGGGGCATCGCCTATGGAGGAGTTAATGCTGATCTCTCTGGGTGAATTAGTTCACATGAGTGTGAGAAGGCCACCCCCGTTTTTCTCCATTTAAATATCTCTAAATTTGAGGTACCACCAGTTTTCAAGGGCAGCAAAATAGATAGATAGCATCGATGCTTGGACCTAAATCCCTTCCCATAGGACCGGTATGGACAGACGGAAGGTTTCTTTCGGGTCCACACAGGGATTTCTATCCCCTAAACAGCAGTGATGTGGTTTTCTCACAGCAAAGGGTTACACAGTTTTCTCGCTGTTCCCGGAGGAGCAGCTAGTTGGCCACATGTGGGGCAGATGTGAAGGAAGGTGATGAGGAGGCATTGCTTCTGGCTGTACGTGTTTCCCGTACAACAGTCTCCTCCCCACTGGTCCAGGGATAGAACCAGGGACAGAAATCCGAAGTGGGGAAGTAAGTCCTGAGACTTACACCGTGGGTGTCACCTGCAGGAACGTGGGGTCATCAGACATCTTACTGATAATTTCATCATTCAAAGAATTGGGGGGCGGGGGGGGGGCAGATGGATCAGTAGCTCAGCAGGAAAAGTGAGGACCTGTGTCTGGCTCCCCAGTATCCACGCAAAACGCTAAGTGTGTGGCTAAGTGTGCTGGAGCTGTGAAGACAGACAGACCCCAGGAGCTGGATGGCCAGCCAGCCAAGCTGTTGTGTGACAACACCTTTCCTGGGAAGGCACACCGCACACGTCTATGCATTCCATGGCATACCAGAGTATATATACTGCCAAGGTCCCACTTGGTGAACCCTGAGTTTTACTGGGGTCACTTACAGGGTTACAGATGAGGCATAGCTTACAGAAACGGAAATGACTGAGACAGCTGTTATCACCAAAGCTTGCCCCAACAAGGGTGGCAGCTCATAAAATCTGGGGACGGGAGCACACAGCCTGCAGGCAGGCCAGCAGATGGAGAGTGTCCTTTCCAGGTGACCCAGTTGTCTAAAGCTCTTCCAGGCAGCGGGTATGGCTTCTGTTTCTCCCAGGCAGCTGGTCTTGTGTGGGAGCCTCTCCTTTGTATCTGGTTTGTCTGAGGGCTCTCAACTTTTATTGCCTAACTCTGGCAGGGAGCGGCTAAGTGAATCTGATCAGTTTCAGGGACTTCCTGAAGCTATTTTGAGTTGTTTACCTTCCAGCCTGAGGAGCTTCCCTGCAGGATGGAATGCTTCAATCTAAGGAAACTGTTGCACAACAGTAGCCAGTAATCAGTACATTCCAAGTTTACTGGGAGACCTTGTCTAAAAAAAAATAAGACAGGGTATGATAAAGATTCCCAAAATTGTCCTCTGGCATATACATTTGAGCTCTACCCTCCCCCAACAGGAGCGGGAGGGGTGGGGTAAGCTCACAAACACAATCCCAAACTCTTAATTCCTCTAAATTACTTCCTGAAGTAAGCATTTGCATCCCCATAGATAGAGTAGAAAAAGAAAGGAAATGGGGTAGAAATTAGAAATGGCTCATGAGGTAAGGTCACTTGCTGTGCAAAGCATTAGGACTTGAGTTCAAATCCCTAGTAGCCACGTTAAATGCTGGTGACAGCTGTGGTTGCCTGTGAGCCCAGCACTGTTGGAGCTAGACAGAGAGCTGCTCCGGCTTGCTCAGTTTCAGGTTCAGTGAGATGCTGGGTCTCAAGAGAATAAATTGGACATTGGTAGAACAGCATACTCGCTGTCTTTTGACTTCCTCATGCGCACACACCCTAAACACGTAGGTGTGAATGTACCTCTCGCACACATCGATGAGGGAAGTGATGTGTCCAATGTCAGTCAGGCAGTGCCTAAGTTCAGTCTGAATTAAACCTATCTGTCAAAATCCAAAGTCCATTTTTTTTTTTTCCCTTTGTTTCCTCCGATGCCCCGAGGCAGGTTGGGGTAATGACTAACCAGCTAAGAGTGCAGACTCACATGGACCCCACCTGGTCGGTGCTGGGTAACCTTAGGCAAGTCAATGTCTCCGATGTTCTGTTTATTCACCTTTATAGCTGGATTTTGAGGATTCTTTCTAGGGCCACAGGGTAGTGGAAAGAATTTCTAACAATTCTGCATGCCAAGTACTCAGTGACTGTTGTATGCAAGTGACAGGTAAGTGTTGGATAGTTTGTTTCCAAAGGCGAGGACAGTGTTTCCAGTATTTCTTTCTCAGCTCTCTCTCAAGCAGTCCATTGCTCTTCATCCTCCCGGACTCACTCAGCCCCCATAATCTATGCCTTCGGTGAATTAAACAAGGATCGCAACAAGAGAAACTGGTTTTTCCGCATCACCAACAGAAGCTTTACCACCTCTATCTCTCCTAAGTGGAGTGGCAAAGCTGGCTGGGTATGAAATACCAGGTTGCTCCTGTTAGCATCCACTGCTCAGAGGCAAGCAAAAACCCATTCTGCGTACTGTATTGGACGCCACAGCACAGGTGCCACCTGTTTGTCACAAGCCAGAAGCTAAGCACTGTCAAGGAGGGGCTGCTATCATTTCCATGTCACAGGTAAAGACATCGAGCAGTCAGCAGCATTTGATGCCCTTGCGGAGGACCCCAGTCTCGTTCAAAGCACCCACAGCGGTCTTCTCACAACACCCTGTAACTCCAGCACCAGGGTGGTCGTCAGCCTCCTCTGACCTGCTAGGGCACAGCGTGCGAGAGGTGTAATTACACATACGCACACGGGTGCATACATATAAAACAAGTAAACATCTTCAGAAGCAGAGTATTAAGCCAGGCCGTGTGGTGCACGCCTTTAATCCCAGCACTCGGGGAGCAGAGACAAGTGGATCTCTCTGAGTTTGAGGCCAGCCTGGTTCACTGAGCTAGTCTGGGACAGGCTCCAAAGCTACAGAGAAATCCTGTTTAAAAAAAAAAAAAAAAAAAAAAAAAAAGTAGAGCATTGCAGAGAGTAAAAACTTGCTGAGAAACCTGTTTGGCTGTGGTAGACCTTGATTTATGTAACACACGAACACACACACTGCCTGGTTTATTTGTCTGAGATAGCCCTGGCTGTCCTGGAACTCACTGTGTAGAACACACACACAACACACACACACACACACACACACACACACACACACAGCCTGGTTTATTTGTCTGAGATAGCCCTGGCTGTCCTGGAACTCACTGTGTAGACCTCAAACACACACACACACACACACACACACACACACACACACACACACACTGCCTGGTTTATTTGTCTGAGACAGCCCTGGCTGTCCTGGAACTCACTGTGTAGACCTCAAAGTCAGAGAGCTCCACCTGCCTCTGCCTCTGGAATGCAGAGACTAAAGGTGTGCTCAACCACACAGGGTCCCATTGCTTGCTGTTTTGAGTTGGCAGTTTAACGCAGGCCCTGCAACATGGAATTCAGAGCCTTTACCACTGAGCGCCAACCCCCAGGTTCCCTGAAACAAAGTGAAAATTCGTTCCCCCGTGAATGGTGAAGATGCCTTGCTTCGGGACAGAAATAACCCAAACCCTCAGCTGGCCCAGTTCCCTTAGCTCTTGGTATTTCAAAGCTTGACATTTCTGAAACGCTAGTAATGAAATGGGATAACCTCACACGCAAAGTTAGAAAACCGAGGCTCAAAGAGGTGAGGAAACTGGCCCTGGACCACTCCATCTGATAGTAACCGGGCTGGGGCGGGAATCCTCATACTCTGACTTACTGAGGGACTTCAGCAGGGAGTCTTTACCGCCTCACCGGAGGAATGGAGTCATTAAACTCTCTCTGCCAGGTGTGGCCCAGCCCAAGGGCCGCCACCCTGCCCTGGGCTGTGATTCAGGGAAGTGTTGGGAGGGAAGGAGCGTGGGTGCGAGGCGGGAGCCGGCACCGACGGGGGCGGGGCTTGCAGTCTAAGTACGCGCGGGGCCGTGGGCGGGGCCCGGGATGCGGCTAATAGGATGATCACGGGCTCCGGGACGGGGCTCCTGGGTACCCTGGACCCGTGACGCCGAGCTTGGGGGGGGAAGCTAGGTCTGGGGCGGCCGGGCCTGGCTCGCGGGCTCGATGGGCGAGTTAGCGTGGCGGAAAGACCCAGCTCGTAGGGCGGCTCCCCGGGGCCGGTGGGCGGGGCTTGAGCCGGCCCGCTCAGGTCCTGAAGCAGTGGGTGGGGCTCGCAGGAGCCCGTGGGCGTGGCTGTCCGGCCATTCAAATACCCGGCCAAGCGGGCGTGTGCTCCGAGCCTCCCTGCGCTGCCCTACGCCACCAGAGAGGGCGCCCTTGGGAGCGCCGGGCGGCTAACCGGGACCTTCCCGGAAGTGGGCGTGGCGAGGCGCGGCCCGGCGGCGCTGATTGGGCGCGGCGCGGCGCTGGGGCGGGGCCTGCGCGAGGAGGCCTGGGCCGCGGCGGCCGCGCCCCTCCCCCGCGCGGCGCTCAGTGCCAGGCGGGAGGCGGCAGCGGTTGGAGGCTTCGCGGGGCTTTGCAGCTGCGACTTCGGCGGCGGCGGCGCCTCAGGCACCCGGGCTCTGGTGAGCGGCGCGCGCTCCGGCGGGGCGGCTCGGGAGCGAGCCGGGGCGTGCGGGCGGGCCTTCGGGGCCCCGCGTGTGAAAGCTCCGGGCTGACAGGAGCCGGCGGCGCCGGGTGTGCGGGGCGCGCGCGCGTGCCCGCCCGTGCCCGGGGGTGCTGCGGCCGGGGAATGGCCGGCGCCGGGCGGCGGGCGGCGGGCGGCGGGCGCTCGGCCTTGGGCCCGGCGACCGTGCGGCGGGCGGGCGGTGGCTGCGGGCTGCGGGCTGCGGGGAGGAGGAGGCCGGGGCTGGGCGCTCACGTGGGGCCGGGGGCGCGGGTGCTGCGCTCGCCCGGCCGGGGCTCCGCCTGGCTCGGGGTGCACGGCCTCCTGGACCCCGAAGACCCGGGGCGGGGGCCAGGCTGCAGCGGCGCGGCCGGGTGCGGAACCTAGTGACCCGCGGGGCAGGTGGGGCTCAGCCGCGCCGAGATGGCTGGGATGACATCAGATGTGGAGGGTGGGGACGCCCAGCCCAGCTCCGCCGCCGGTCCCCCCGCGGGTGTGTGCGCGCACCGCAGCCCTGTCTCCAGCGATGTGAATGCGCTGGGGGAAGTGGCCGGCTGCAGGGCTCGCCGAGAAGAAAGGGGCTTCCTCCCTGAGGGAGGTGCCGGCCCCGACGTCCTTTTTTGGGAGTGTTCAAAGGGGTTCTTTTTTTTTTTTTTTCAGGCTGGAAAAGGAAATGCAGGCTTCGCTCCATGGTGGTTTAGAATCACATCCTATATTTGGCCTTCATGTAGGCTGCCCTTGTTTTGTGGTGTCGGAACGGCTTGCTCTACACATTTCGGTCGTGGGATTAGGGCTGAGGAGCAAATTGCAAGTTGCTCATCCCTCCCAGGATTGCAAGGTCCTAAGGCCTTCCCTTCCTGTGAGCGTCTCAAAAGAAATGACCGCAGAGTGTGTTTATACACAGTGCCACATATGTTTAGTTTTGGAAATGGTTGGCACAAAATGCCGTACCCCCGCATCATAGCCTTCCTTACCGGGTTATATCCTAAAACAGTACTTGGGAGACTCTTAGTCACCCCGTATAATAAAGAGTCCCATTGTCCTCGTCTGGCAGAACAGGGGCAGGGGCACGATTAAGTACAAGCAGTTGCTTCCTGCCGCCTGTTCAGTTGTGAAGACGAATCTGTAGGCTCATACTCTCTTCTGCAGCCTCAGAGGAGCTCAGAGGGTAAAGGCTGTTGAGTACTTGGTTACACATATGTCAGAAGACTGACCTACTGAGACGTGGAGATGTGTTTCCCTCTCAGTAATGTTTGGGTAGACTGCCTGATGTTAAACATCGAATCTGAAATTGTACTGGATAGTTTTCTGTCACCTTGACACAAACTAGAGTCACCAGAGAGGAGGAAACCTCAACTGAGAAAATGTCTCTCCATAAGATCAGGTTGTAGGCAAGCCTGTGGGGCATTTTCTTAATTAGTGATTCATGTGGGGAGGGCCCAGCCCATTGTGGGTAAGGCCACCCCTGGGCTCCTAGCCCTGGATTCTGTAAGAAAGCAGGCTGAGCAAGCCATGAGGAGCAAGCCAGTGAGCAGCACCCTCCATGGCCTCTGCAGCAGCTGCTGCCTCCAGGTTCCTGCCCTGTCTGAGTTCCTGTCCTGACTTCCTTTGATGATAAAGTGTGATATGGAAGCTGAAGTAACCCTTTCCTCCCCGAGTTGCTTTGGTCATGGTGTTCCATAGTAACCCTAACTAAGATAAACATATGAATAGGAGGAAAAAAAAAATAGAGGTAACACAGACTTGCCTTGTACCATAGGTCTAGAAGTGCCCGTCTTGGTGGTAGTTGACAGTCGCACAGACAGACAGGTCAGATGCACACTTCTTTAAGAAATTGGAACATGCCTTCTCTCTCTCTCTCTGTGTGTGTGTGTGTGTTGCTTGTGTTTTAATTGTGGACAGTACATTAAAGCTTGATGGATTTAAAAGGTCTTTACTATTAAGTTGTGTGTGTGTGTGTGTGTGTGTGTGTGTGTGTGGTATGTATGTGCACATGAGTGCATCCTCAGAGGCCAGAGGCATGGGATGCCCTGGAGCTGGAGTTAGAGATGGTTGTGACCCACTTGAGTGGGTGCTGAGAACTGAACCTGGGTCCTCTGGAAGAGCAGCAGGTGCTCTTAGCCATTTCTCCAGTCTCCAGGCATCATGCGTTTTTAGCATAAGTAATTATACTGGAGAAATATCAGCGCAGGCAGCGTTCAGGTTTTCAGGGTTATTTGTTACTTTTCACTAGATCTTGCTCAGCAGTATTTGTGTTTGCATATCATTCAGGGTCAGATTCAGGGCTGTTAAACAGCATTTTTAAACATTACTTCTGGGTTCCACTCCAGCTGTTTGTGGGGAGTGCTCTAATGCTTATGTGATACAATGTTTGGAAAGGTAAGGTTATTAGTTTCTTAGCTGAGTTAGTGGGAATGTGGGAGACTCAGTTCTTACCACAGCAAAATAGTCACCTTTCCGCCATTTCTCTGAAGAGCAAGCAGATGTCTGTCTCTATGCCTGTCTCTGTCTTTCTCTCCCCTCTCTCCCATTTCCATTCCCTCCCCTCCCCCCATAAAACTTCCCACTTAAAACAAAACATTTTGATGTCACAAACTGGTGCTTTAGAAACATAGTAATTGGATTGCCGACCTCTGAGAGCTACTTTGACATTCTGCCTGCTAACCCGGGTGGGTGGGGAAGGCTTGTGTTCCCTTGGGTGACTTCCCCGTGTCAGCTGGCTCTGAGTTATCAGCGCTCTGCCGCTACTTGCCTGTGTCTTTTAAACTAAAGACAGCCGTCTGTATTAAAACATGGCATTCTTCATGAATATTTCAGCATGGCCTAGTACCTAGATGTTGAGTAATGGAATCTCTTGGGTTTGCGTTGCCCTAGTTGAGGTTCTCTGACGTTCACAGTGCACAGTGGGTCCTTTCCGTATTATAGTGGCTTTATTGAACTGTGATTCACGCACCATGCATTTCACCCACCTAAGGTGCACAGTTTACTGGGGTGCATGTTGTCATGGCCACACTCAATTTAAAATACGTCATCACCCCAGGACAGAAGCTCCATGTGCATTCTCCGTTCCCAGTCCTAGCAACCACTAATCTACCTCTGTGTAGACTTCCCTCCTTGGACATACTATGTCTAGAACATTCGGTATGTGGTCTTTTGTTTCTCGCTTTAAACATATTTTATTTAAGGTGTGTGTCCAGGCAGTGGTGGCTCACAATTTTAGTCCCAGTACTTGGGAGGCAGAGGCAGGTCTGGTCTACAGAGTGAGATCCAGGACAGCAAGGGCTGCAGAACACAGTGGAACCCTGACTTTAACAAGACAAGACAAACCCCCAAAACCAGATTTATGTATTCTGTAGTACATATGGAATATTTTATGCTTGAATGGTATTTCAGGGTTAGGGAGATGGCTCAGTGGTTAAGAGCACTGGCTGCTCTTCCAGACGTCCTGAGTTCAATTCCCAGAAGCCACATGGTGGCTCACAGCCATCTATAATGAGATCTAGTGGCTCTTCTGGTGTCTTAAGCATGTGTGCAGGCAGGATACTATACAGAATAAATAAGTAAAGATATATTAAAAACGAACATCGTTGTATGGATATACCATGTTTGCTCATTTGTAGTAGGTGGGTGTTTGGGTAAGTAGCCTTTTGGGCTAGTTACTACAAGTAAGTCTGCTGTGAGCGTTCCTGTATAATGAGTGCTCTTGAGTATTGACCCGTGGATGGAATTGCTGGTTGTCTGGTAAGCCTGTATTTAACTATCTGGAGGCATTGCCATGGTGTTTTCCTAATCAGCTGCAGTGTTTGGCGCTTTTAACCCATGGTGAGCGAAGGCTACAGTTTTTCTGCATCTTTACCAAGTCTTGTCATTGTCTGCTGTCTTTCTGAGTGTGAGTTGGCGCCTTGTGCGCCTGGTTCCTGTAGTACCGGTGACAGCAAGCATTGTTCCATAGATCAACCAGCGCTTTCTCGGCTTCTTTGTAGAACTATTTATATTCTTTGCCTATTTTTAAGGCACATAATATATTCTAATCTTTATTATTTTCAAGACAGGGTTTCTCTGTGTAGCCCTGGCTGTCCTGGAACTGGCTCTGTAGACCAGGCTGACCTCAAGCTCACAGAGATCCACCCGCCTCTGCCTCATTAGTGCTGAAAGGCGTGTGCCAGCTCTACCTGGTGTGCTTCAATTGCTAAGAGTTATTTTTATAAACACCCTTTCAGTTTCATGATTTGCCATTTGTTTTCCCTGTTTGTGAGTCAGTTTTTCTTGATAGTGCCCATTGAAGCGCAAAAACTAACATTTTGGAGGGAAAATTTGTATGGCTTTGGAGCCTGTCCTGGAACTAGCTCTTGTAGATCAGGCTAGTCTCGAACTCACAGAGATCCTCCTGCCTCTGCCTCCTGAGTGCTGGGATTAAAGGGGTACACCATCACCACCCGGCTAAGTGTTGCTTTTTCAAATCTTGTAGCTGTCTACCTTCTAAAATAAGTTCAGATTTTTTTAAAAAAATTTCATTTTGTGTGAGTATACTGTTTGTATGAATGGTGACATGTATGCATGAATGAAATGTGTGTGTATATGATGTCTGTATGTGTGTATATGATGTCTGTCTGTGAATGATGTGTGTATGTGTGTATGTGATGTCTGTATGTGAATGATGTATGTATGTGTGTATATGATGTCTGTATGTGAATGATGTGTATGTGTATATGATGTCTGTATGTGAATGATGTGTGTATGTGTATATGATGTCTGTCTGTGAATGATGTGTTTATATGATGTCTGTGAATGATGTGTGTATGTGTGTATTTGATGTCTGTCTGTGAATGATGTGTGTATGTGATGTCTGTGAATGATGTGTGTGTGTGTGTATATGATGTCTGTCTGTGAATGATGTGTGTATGTGTATGTGATGTCTGTATGTGAATGATGTATGTATGTGTATGTGATGTCTGTATG